ATCCACTCTCAGTTTTTTTTTTCCAGCGAGAAGAAAAGAAAAGAAGTTGACAGAAGTGTCTCATTAGAGGAAGAGTAGAAAAGTATTTTCCAGCAACGAGTTCTCTGTATATACGAATAATTACGGGTGAGATTTCTACGATTTTTTTACCCGCGGTGAAATTGCGAGGAAAATGGTTAGTTCCGCGAAGATATATAGAGAGAGAAAATAGAGTAAGGGAACTTTCCAGTGAGATAGAAAATTCGCGAACAGATAGAGAGAGAGAGAGAGAGAGAAATAGCAAGAGAACTTTCCAGTGAGAAAGAAAATTCACCAAGACAGAACGAGACAGATAGATTGCACAGTAGAAATGAGGACAGAAACGACGATGTCTCTGTCGCCGATGAAGCAGAGAGAGAAAGAGAGAGAAAAAAAAGCCTTCGTAGAGGAAAAGAGTACGTAGCGAGTGTAACAAATGGAGAACCACCGCGGACCGGAAGTCACGCTGTGAATACCTTGAACATCCCGTCGGCTGTTTTGTTGTCGTCGCGAATATTCGGTATCGTCGCGACCCTGTACGAGTCTGAGCGGCCATGCTGTAAAAAAATGAGATGGTGAACAGAAAAAAAAAAAAGAAAAGAAAATACAAAAATAAATCGGTGAACAATGAAAAGAAAACAAGAGAGATAAAAATTAGGGGATAAAATTTTTAAAATGATTTGGGTTCGACGATGCTCGTTTTTACTATTGCTCTTCGTTCTTTATATTTTGCAGTCTTCTGCGAGAAATATTTCCTGGATTTAACGTCGCTCTGAAAAAAGTTTTATGGTACACATAATCGGCAGTTCGGCGAAACGTGAAAATGCGAGTGTTTCTAGTGGGGGATAATAAAAGTGGAGGGAAAGTCTCTCGATGTGTACGATTTTAATATTTTTCCAGATAATAGCAGCGTGATAAAGTACAATTTTTCAATTCATATCTGTGAGAGATTTTACTGTTTTTTTTTTTTTATTTCCTGCAGCTTTTTCGTGGTGAAAATTGTTGTGTACGTGGAGACTGGGAGTAGCGAAATTTTATCGGGTACGAGTATGCGTCGATACGATCAATTTTAATGGGAGAATTGTAGGTTTTATTTGCCGATTGAATATATGTAGTGGGTGTGTAAATTGGACTGGTAGAATGTTATTGGACGTTCTATTTGGAGATAGAGATTGTACGAATTTTTATTCGTTGATCGAATGTGTGTAACAATTGATTTAGGGGAGTGAAAGAGGAATATTTTCCCCGTTGAAAAATTGTTTTCTACGTGTGCCAGTTAAATATGAAATTTTTGCACGAGACGTAATATTCAGAAATTCTGAAAGGTGAAATTTTTCCTCACCGAAAAATCATTCTCTACGAATATCTATTAAATATGAAATTTCTCTCAGACAGATTGAGCGAATTGAATTTGCAACATTTGCACGAGATATATTCAGCAATTGTGAAAAGTGAAAATTTGCCTCGCCGAGAAATCATTTTCCACCGAGTCTCGTATAAATCGAGCGAATTAAAGCAACACTTGCACGAGATATCAAGTTTTAAAGACAGAAATCCTCCCAGAATATGATTAGATACAAATACAAATCCTTCTATCCTATTTCTTCTCAAGGAGCCTTCGTTCTTTACGAAAATAATCGAAAACAGACGTAGCGATTCGACTAATCTTCGTCGTCGTCCCAGTTTCCAGAAAACACCGTTAAATTCGACCATGGAAACGCAGTAAAACGCACATTTTCCAGACACGTGGGCAGAGTGAATCAGACACGTGAGGCCGCGAGCCTAATTTTCAAGAGCGACCTCGGCTACGCTGCTGTTTGGATAACGAGTGTTTCCGGTCCCGGTTCGACGGAGGCGTGTCACTGAAAATCCCCCGGGATCGAATCGGTCCTTGAACACGGAGGCCTTAGAAAATTAATCTCGATTGCCGATTCCTATTGTCACCAATTCCAATTCCACCAACCCATTGTGTCTGCATTCGCAAACTCAAGGACGACGCTGAATTAGCGAAACTCGTGGTGGAGCTTTGTCAAACTTCATTTGGGACTTTTCGTTTCGACGTTCCTCGTGCATCGGAGGAATTAGCGGAGAAGATGGGGTCGTCCCTCATCAATTCCTGTCGAATTTTACAATTTCAATTGTAATTTTGACAAAATGCAAGTGCCTTTTTGTCCCACAATTTTCGAAATTGTCGAAGAAATTATTGGCGAAACTAGTGGAGGAGATTAGGTCATCCCATAAATTCCTGTCGAATTGATGCCATTTCAATTGTAATTTTGACAAAATGCAAGTGCCTTCTTGTCCCACAATTTTCGAAATTGTCGAAGAAATTATTGGCGAAATTAGTGGAGAAGATTAGATAATGCCATAAGCTCGTGTCGAATTGTTGCAATTTAAATTGTAATTAAAAGAAATGCAAGTGCCTTCTTGTCCCACAATTTTCGAAATTGTCGAAGAAATTATTGGCGAAATTAGTGGAGAAGATTAGATAATGCCATAAGCTCGTGTCGAATTGTTGCAATTTAAATTGTAATTAAAAGAAATGCAAGTGCCTTCTTGTCCCACAATTTTCGAAATTGTCGAAGAAATTATTGGCGAAACTAGTGGAGAAGATTAGATAATGCCTTAAGCTCGTGTCGAATTGTTGCAATTTAAATTGTAATTAAAAGAAATGCAAGTTCCTTCTTGTCCCACAATTTTCGAAATTGTCGAAGAAATTATTGGCGAAATTAGTGGAGAAGATTAGATAATGCCATAAGCTCGTGTCGAATTGTTGCAATTTAAATTGTAATTAAAAGAAATGCAAGTGCCTTCTTGTCCCACAATTTTCGAAATTGTCGAAGAAATTATTGGCGAAATTAGTGGAGAAGATTAGATAATGCCATAAGCTCGTGTCGAATTGTTGCAATTTAAATTGTAATTAAAAGAAATGCAAGTGCCTTCTTGTCCCACAATTTTCGAAATTGTCGAAGAAATTATTGGCGAAATTAGTGGAGAAGATTAGATAATGCCATAAGCTCGTGTCGAATTGTTGCAATTTAAATTGTAATTAAAAGAAATGCAAGTGCCTTCTCTTCCACAATTTTCGAAATTATCAAAGTAATTATTGCAGAATATTATTCTCCAATTCTAATTTAAAATTCTACATTCTAATCTAGAATTCTATAATTTAAACTGTAATTTTGAAAAATGTAAGTGCCTTCTCGTTCCGCAATTTTCTTTCGAAAAGCCATTACATCGTCTCTGTAGAATTTCCCTGGATTTTTATTGAAATATCTTTCGCTTTCTGCACGAACTTCTGGCACGACTTAACATTCAATCTGCAAAATATTCCCCGAAACCGTAATTCATCTCTCTCACAGCAAGAGCCACCGATAAATTCCTCAACCCTTCCACTGCCCAATAATTTCTCTCCATCTACTCCACAAATCGGACAATCGAAAATTGCGAAAAAATTATACACACGCGGAAAATAGTTCCTTTCCATGAAAGGACGAAAGACAAAGGGGAAGAAAAAAAGGCAGGCTTAAATTTCTTTCTCGTGGCTCATTTGAATAAATTCGACCAATCGAGAGGGAGAGAGAGGTGGAATAATTTGCAGCCGTTGAAAGAGCGATAATACTCTCCTTTTCACGGTGGTTCGCAGGCAGTTGGAATATTTAAATCGAAAGGAGTAGCTTTCATTTAGACACGGCGACAGAAAATTGGAAGGGGGAATATATAGGATATTTTCCACGGAGACCACGGAACAGGCGTAATCTCATTTTCTCGAGCGTCCGGACGCATACAAACGATGTACTAACGCGGGCAATGATAAAAGTTCCAGAGCGAGGGGTCGTTCCTAAGGTTCAAGCCTTAGAAAGTCGATGACAAGTCACGAATTCGCGAGGGTCGCACCCCTCTGTCTGGTGGAAGAAAGAGTGATACACGGTCCCGATTCATCGATCGCCGCTGGATTAGGCGTGCTCGCTCGTGAACGCGGTTCCCGCACACGAGCACGCCAATTGTTTCTGTATCGTTGAGTAAAGTGTGATATTTTATGGGTTGAGTTGGGAAAATTATGCTACTGATTACGTTTGTTAAATTCTCAAGTAAAATATACTTTTTTTTATTTTTGATTTTGTCACGAACTTCTGACGATTTTAGTGGTATTTTGAAATAATGAAATATACAAAAGTACAAAAATTGTGAATTTTGTTTTTAATTGTTCAATGTCTGTAGTGAAAGATTTATTTCCTTTTGGGTGCAGAAGATAACGCGGAATTTTGTCACGAATCTGAAATGATTTTAGCGGTATTTTATGAAAGTATGTAAAAAATCAAACATTTTAATTATACTATGGAGTTACGCTTGTCGAATTTTGAAGTAAAAGATTTATTTCTTTTTGGTGCAGAAGATAACGCGGAATTTTGTCACGAATCTGTAATGATTTTAGTGGTATTTTACGAAAATTCGTAAAAATGCAAAAATTTAAATTATGCTACGGAATTACGTTTGATAACTGTTCGAAGTAAAAATAAGTATCCACTCTGTGTGCAAAAGAGGATCTATCGCAATTTTAAACATTGTGAATAAGTTAGAGACATGTTTGAAAGAACACGTCGCGTTATCAAATTTTCCACAATTTTTGTCAATTTTGCGAAAGTTTTCCTTTTTTATTTTTGGTAACAGTATTCATGGAACATTCGCATGTTTTATTATTCTTAAATTTTGTGGAAGCTTTCATTCGTGTTTTTTAATTTACCACGAATTTCATCAAATGCTCCGTTCATTTTCTAAACAGCACCGATGGTCCTGACTACTCTTCCTTCTAACATTATTCGCAGATAAATTCACAAATTTCATCCATTTTTAAAACAGCATTTGCAGCTTTTCTGTGCTTCATAAATATTCCCACACTTCCTCCTAAGGTAAATTCATAAATTTCATTCAAGCTTCCACTCCTTTTTTAAACAGTATTTATAAAGTGTTCCGTCGCGCAGGTACGGAACGCGTGGGGCCATCGTTCACCGGGTTTATGGCACGCTCGCACGAGAAGGTTATTTTTGAGAAAAATAAGTAATTTCTTAGAGAACAATGCCTTTAGAATTTCGACTTTTCCGCGTCCTCGATAACCGAAGACGTGTCATAAACCAGGTATTACTGAAGGGTCAATCCACACGCACGTATAACAGCACTCTCGGCCGAGGGTTGACCACTTTTTGAGGATTTTTTCCACTTTTTTTCGTCTTTCAGAGGCTCGAAAAATCAGAAAAGTGTATATTTTCGCATAATTCTACTACCGACCATAGCCACACATGTCCTGAAGACATGTGCAAAATTTGAGTTCGATTGGTTCTGCAGTTTTTGCCAGATCGTGGCAACCATTTGAGAAAACATGGTTCCGAGAAAAACGCGTTTAAAGTTTTCAGTGCAATTTAGATTCTCCCTTGATGTGTCACACTGAACGAGCTATAACTTCGTTACTTTATTGAATACAACTATAAAACTTCAGGAGTACATTCTTAAAGAGTTGCAGCGAAGTCGAGCATCGTACACTCTCCGTTCTCTCCTCGAA